CCCCTGGGTGCACATGGGGAAAGGAGAGCCCTGGCGTTTGGAAGCTGGTGACCTGCGCAGGGCTCAGTGGACTGGACACACAAAATAAACACATGTAAGTTAAGATTTTCAACCTCAGCTACTTATGGAGTTTGAGGCTAGTCTGGGTTATATGAAACCATCAAAAAGAAGCACCCACCTTGAGAGAGGGTCTCTCTATGTAGCCCTGACTGACTTGGAACACTCTACGTTGGCCAGGCTGGTCTGGCAGTCACTGAGATTCTCCTGCCTCTGCCTCCAGAGAGCTAGGATTAAAGGCGTGCGCTAGCATGTGTAGCAATTTCAGGACATTTCACCCCCTAGCAGGAAATCCTGCTGCCCACAGTCCCACTCTCCCCATCAGCCCAGCCCTCTCCCACTAGTCTTCTCTCTGTCTGTGCAGACTGGCCTCTAGGGACAGTTAGCGAGAACTGACTTATACAACGTGCCTGGCTAATTTTGCTTAGCGTCGCATTTTCAAGGTTCATCCAGGTGCGGTATGAAGCAGCAGTTCCTTCCTTTTATGACCGAATAACATTCTATTTTCTGGATATCCTACATTTTGTGCATTTGTAAGTAGGTGTTGGGGTGGTCTCCAGTTTCCAGGAACTGGAAAACAGGTTCTATTCTTTTGCACATGCATCCTAGAGTAGGTAGGGCTACAGCTATCATTGAAACTCTCACACATGATCTCCCCGAATTGCCTCAAGCACCCCCCTAGAGGATGCAGCTGTGGATGTGGGGTTTGGGGGATGACATTGAGGCACAGCAGGGCTGATAGGAAATGGCGCTGACATATGCCCCCTCGAAGAGGTGACACTGTTGTTCACCTTGCAACCTCTGCCTCAAAGTGTTAGCCCTGAAAAGGGGAAAGAGCCTTGCAGCAGGGGCCAGGCAGAGGGAACAGCACATGCAAAGGCCCAGAGGACAGCAAGGTCAGAACTCAGGCTAGGTAGAGGTAGGGAGAGAGGGAAGGAGAAGGAGAGCCCGTGAAGCACACCCCCCCCCACTCCCAGTACAGGCAAAACCATTCACACTTGTGATGTCAGGAGAAAGAGGAGCCCCTGCCCTTGGCTGGGATGGTATAGACCAATAGTCCTTGGGCAACCTCCCTTGTGCCAACCAAGGCAGCTCTCCTGCTCCTCCCGGCACAGCCAAGACCAAGGTACCTTTTGCATTTTAGTAGAAGACAGAGCAGAGTTAGGACTGGCAGGGTGGGACTTGAGCATGGCCCTGGGCAAGCCAGTCCCCTCCTGAGCCACTCTGGCCACTGGGCTCTATGGCCAGCCTTCCTGTTAGCCTGGATACAATCGGCTTCTCAGACCCAACTGATCTTTTATGCATTTTTAATAAGCCAAGGTCAATGTTATCACCCAAAGTTGACAGCAATCTTTTCTCTACGTAGCTGGTGTCTAAAAATATCCCCTCCTCAGGCCAGAGGTGTGGAATACACTCCTGGTTTTCTACAACTGGGTGTTCCTCTCCAGCTAGCTCAGCAGGGTGTTAAAAAAATTCAGAAGAAAAAGGAAACCTTTGGAGGTCATATACATTTTGCAAACAAGTTTCTGTCAAAGTCAAACAGGTTTCTTTCCCGAAGTACTTGTCAGGGACTTTGGTACCAATGTGCACTGTGAATTGGGTTGTTGGGGGTGTCGGGGCACTACTGCTTGTTTGACCAAAGAGGCTCAACCTTCTTTTACATGAATTTCTGACACCATAGATTCCTGGGGCCCAGTGTTCCCAAGAGGAAGAACCTACCATGCTAGCTAGTGCCTGCCGTCCACCTCTGTGCCTTTGGAGGAATGAGCAGGCTCCACCCCTTAGGTCAGCACAGGGCAGAGCCAGCCGCGTGAGGTCAGGGTGTGTAAATGACCCGGGCTAGACATCTGTCTTTGTTCCTTTGCGGCTGTGATAAAACACACTGACAAAAGTGACTTAGGAAAGAAGAGGTTTGCCAGGCGGTGGTGGCGCCATTTAATCCCAGTACTCAGGAGGCAGAGAACGGAGGATCTCTGTGAGATCAAGGCCAGTTTGGTCTACAGAGCGAGTTCCAGGACAGCCAGAGAGATACACAGAGAAACCGTCTCGAAAAACAAAAAACAAAAAACAAAAAAACAAACAGAAAGAAAGAAGGAAGAAAGGAAGGAAGGAGAAAGAAGGAAAGAAAGAAAGAAATAAAGAAAGAAAGGAAGGAAGGAAGGAAGGAAGGAAGGAAGGAAGGAAGGAAGGAAGGAAGAAAGGAAGGAAGGTTTATTTTGACCCACAGTTCAAGAGGACAGTCCATGACGACCACAAAGGCAAGGCTGCCCCTAAAGCAGCTGGGCATGTCACATCCACAGTCAGGAGCAGAGAAAGATGGAGATGAATGCACACTAAGCTCAGGTCCCCTTTCTCCAGGATGCAATTGAGATTAACCCCCTACACACACACACACACACACACACACACACACACACACACACACCACACAGGCATGCCCAGAGGTCCTGGGGGATTCTAGACCCAGTCAGGCTGACAGCTGACATTACCATCACATATTTGTCCTGGTTGCCTTTCTGTTGCTATGATAAAGCACTCATATCTAAAGCCACCTGGGGAGGAAAAGATTTGTTTGGCGTCCACTTCCAGGCCACAGTTCTTCATTCTGAGAAGTCCGAGCATGAAGTGGGGCTTTTTTTCTTATTTCACACAATGTTACCTCCAACCAGAATTCACTCAGAGCCACAGGAGTCCAGCAGGAACCATGGAGGATGCTGCTTGCTGGCTCACACAGGCTCATGTTTAGCTAGCTTCCTTATACAACCTACCTGCACAGCGAAGGGTGCTGCCCACCGTATGGATCCCTCCTGCATCAATTAACACTCAAGACAATCCCCACAGCTATGTACAGCTCAGTGTAATGCAGACCTTCCAAGGATTTGGACCAATGCATCATACGTGATTCATGTTGTAAGATCATTTGGAAAGTGTTGCCAGATCCTCTGCTCTGCCAAAGAGTGTGGCAGTGTGAACCCAGAAAGCCTAAAAAGCTGGGATGTGGCTCAGTTGGTAGAGTGCTCACCAGTGTGCAGCAGCATCGTGACAACTAATACACAGTATTATCAGTATCAGTTCGTGACAGTAATATCACGAACACCTTAGTATCGATGGCCATGTGCCTTCTAGGCACACTTGGCATTTCTCCGAGCATGTCTCCACCAAGGCGCAGTCAAGTGCGCACACTTGGCCCTGGATTGACGAGCCTTTGAAGTCCCTCCAGGGTTCGCTGGGGCCCCCTCCCTCCGTAGCAGTCTTCACCCTCTGTTGCCCATCTATTGATCAGCCAGATACACGTATGCACTGTGCGGGCTGCATCCACGGCCCACACATTCAGTGGCATTCATCGTGTGGCTCTGTCCTCGGCGTTTCTGGTCCAGATTTGGTCTGATTCAAGTTCCGCTCCAGCGGTGAACGATCTAGAAAGTTTCCTTCCTGTCTGTGTCATCTGTGTTGTTCTGGGCAGTCATGGCTCAGTTGCTGAAGCCCTCCATTCTTAGGGACCCCCACTTCTGCCATGAGCTGCTGCTATGAACAGGACTATGCCCTCTTTGATGTCAGATTACCCTGAGGTATAGCTTAAGGAAGACAGGCAGAATCCATGCTATTGCTTTCCCTTTATTTACCAGTTTGCACAATGATGAGCTGCCTATGAATATTTGAATAAACGGTGAATAATACATGTGTGGGTGAACTGGCAGGACTGAGGAGCTGGGGTTCTTTCTGTCACCCTCAAGTGCCTGGGTCTGTAGCCTTCAGCCAGGACTCTGAACAGCAGCAGCTGTGGTGTGGCTCGCTATTTGTCACCTGTCTGCCCACCTCAGTTAAGCGTTAATGTGGGTGTGGACATGGGGCTTAGTGGGTCTAGGGTTTATCTAGTCGGCACAAAGCCTTAGGTTTAAACTCCAGAACACTAAAACAAACTAACAAACAAAAACCCAATGATTGTGGAGCCAGAGAGATGGCTCAGCTTGTCCCCAAACTTGATGACTCAAGTGTCATCCCAAGTCTTCCACACCCATGCTGTGGCACACATGCACGAGTGCGCACACACACAAGTTGAATTAATTTAACTTTTAAAAAATGGGTGTGCTAGCCAATACCTATATTCCTAGCTCTTGTTGGGGTGGTGGGGTGGCTTTGGGAAGTTCAAGGTCTTCTTGGCCACGTAGCTAATTCAAGGCCATTTTGAGCTATATGAAATGCTCTCTCAAAAATTTTTTAAAGGGGCTGGAAAGATGGCTCCGTGGTTAAGAGCACTGACTGCTCTTCCAGAGGACCCGGGTTCAATTCCCAGCACCCACATGGCAGCTCACAACTGTCTGATGGTCCAGTTCCAGGGGATCTGACACCTTCACACCAGTGCACATAAAATAAAAGTTAAATAAATCATAAAAAATATTTTAAAAAAGTTTTAAAAAGCCAGGTGGTGGTGGCACACTCTTTTAATCCCAGCACTCAGGAGGAAAAGGCAGGTGGATCTCTGAGTTCAAGGCCAGCCTGGTCTACAGAGAGAGTTCCAGGACATCCAGGCCTACACAGAGAAACCCTGTCTCAAAATAATATAATAAATATAAATAATAAATAAAATAATATATTAATTAATTAATATGAAAAGGAGTTCAGGTGGTCAAATTGCTGAACCATCTGACATAATGGAGTCTTTCTCCACCTAAGAACAGAAGTCCAGGAATCCACAAAGGGCAGCCAGAACCAACCTCAGGAGGTCCAGGGCGTCCCTGGCTGGACAACCCATGGGAATGGACATCTGCCCTCTTTGTCCCGAAGGAGTGTCTGAGTGTGCAATGAACAGTTGATCTCCTGAGTCCCTTCAGGGCAGCCCAGCACAGCCCTGGCCACTCCTGCTCCTGAGTTCTTGCCTTCACCAGAGGCCAAGTGGCCTGCCCTGGAGCTTGCTGACCTCCCCCATCCTCTGGTCTCCTCAGGTGCAAATGTAACCTGCACGCCAACCTGTGCACAGTGCGCGAGGGCAGTCTGCAGTGCGAGTGTGAACACAACACCACGGGCCCCGACTGTGGCAAGTGCAAGAAGAACTTCCGTACACGAGCCTGGCGAGCTGGCTCCTACCTGCCGCTGCCCCATGGCTCTCCCAATGCCTGTACGTATGTAACCAACCCAGTGGTGATCCTCATCCTGTGCCCCAGAACTGTGGCTCACATGTGCACTTGCATGCATACACACATACACATACACACACACACACACACACACACACACACACACACACACACAAAGGAGGGGGCAGCTGACGTGGACACACACACGTGTTGACCCTCCAGCTGCCCCCCTCCATGTCTTTTATGCTGTACTTAGGCAGGCCAACCCCATTGGCTTCTCAGCATCTTGCCACCCTTCTTCACTCTGAGAGCAGGGTGGGAGACCTGTGGAGATTCAGGACAGCAGGTACAGTGAATGCCCCCTAACAATCAGTGGTTATGGGGTGCATGCAGCATGTCACATGCTTCTGGCACTGAACCCCCAGCCCTGCTGCTGGCGGTCAAGTACTAACCTTCACATTTGGGAGAAGTGTCCTTGGAGACGCTTGTCTGAGCCCCTGCTCTCAGCCCGGTCTTGCCCCTACCTCACTCAGCTATCAAGGGGAGCCATGTGAGAGTTTCCTCACACATGTCTGTACCATGAGCACTCTTTGAGGGATCCTCATGTTGGGGGGACCCCAAGAACAGGCTTCATGAAATCATAGCTCCCACAAGTCTCTGGGCTGCAAGCAGGAGAGCCTGAGCTGGCTTCTCAGACCCCTGAAACGCACCAAATGACCTGTTCCACACTGAGGCTGCACCAGGATCAGTGGCTACACGTGGCTTCCCTGAGCCCTTACAATACCATGGGAAAGCCGTGACTACCTGCCACCCCCAGGTGAGCACTCAAAGGCCCAGCCAGCCCAGTGCTCTCCTGGTTCCACAGCCAGTCCCGCCCAACACAGGACCCAGTGACAAAGACAGGGTCCACGTGGTTCCCAAACCACATGTCCCATCTGGCACCCTCCCTCACCCCTAAAAGATTCATGTGGCTTTATACTGATCAAAGCCGAAGGCTGCGGCAAGGCAGACGGTGACAGGCATGGCGCGCGTGGGCTACAGCCAGCGCTGTGACAGCCTTTGAAGGGATGACTTGCCAAGCACCGCAAGGCACTCAAGGGTCTTCAAAGCACAGAGGGGGCTTGGCGGGCTGCTGGCCTGCCCCATCTAGCTCCCTCCTCCTGGGTGCCTCTCCACATCTCTTCGTCTCCCGCACCTTCCTCTAGTCCTTGTTGCTACCTCTTACGGGTGGGCTTGTCTCCCCTCCATCTGTCCTACAGCCATACCCACCCCACCACTTCTGTTTGGTTCCTTCCACAGCCTCCCACCTATCACCTCCACCATCATGGACCAAAACTCCTACCTGCAGACTACCCCATGTCCTGCCAATCACACAGTCAGACCCCAGGGTCACTTTTATGTCTTATCTCCTTCCTGCATTGGGAACCTTCCCCCACTTCACCCCCACTTCCCTCTATCTACCTCCTCTCTGGGACCTCCTCTTTATAATCACAGGGACACCCCTCCTAGGTGCCCACCTACTTCAAAGCCTTGGGAGTGAACCCCTAAGTTGTTGGTCCCCCCAAATACAAGGCCCCTGTGAAATCACCCTACCTTTCCCTCCTTCATTCCCTATTCCCAAAACCAAAGTCCTCCACACCCAGTCTCTTAAGACTGGATCATTCCACTGTATCCCTGTGCCTTCCTCACCCTCAGGACCAAATTCTGAGGTCCCCTGGCCTCTGCACCCCACTCTTAGCACCTATGAGTCCTAGCTCTCAGCTCCCACACTCCCAAGCTCGTCTAGACCTCAGGCATATGATGTCTGCTGGGTGTGTAGGTAAAGATTGGAGGAGGGATCAGGAGAACCACCCAGTGCCCCACCCAGCCCACTCTCCCCACAAGTCCTCAGAACCACCAAGGAAAAGCCGTGGCTGACTCCTTCCTTTTGTGACTGTGACAGTTCTACTCAGGGATGGTGACATCACTAGTTAATCCAGTCTCAGGTTTCCTTCCCCACAGAGGCACAGAACACCAGGAGATGGGATCCAGCCTCTCACAATGCCATTCTCCCAGCAGGCCACACCTCCTATTCCCTGGTGATATCTCTGTCCATGAGGACATTGTCCTGCCTTAGGGATCCTGAAAGTTGTGGCTAAACAGGAGGGAATGCTTGTCACAGTGTCCCTTCTGGAAAATGGACTAAGCGCAGCCTCCGGGCAGTCAGGGGTGAGAATTGTGAGAACGGTTGTGGACCCATAGGCTGCCCGTGACCCAGCAGATTCTCGGGCCCTTCAGATCTCCTTCCCTTTAGTAGGACTGGAAGACACCTCCGTGGGCTCCCCTGCCTTGTACAATGTCCTGTGCCAGGTTGGGGTGGCCAGGTCTCGTGTCTAACACTGTTACCCTCTTGTGCCCCTACAGGTGCCGCTGCGGGCTCCGCCTTTGGCAGTAAGTATGCCGCACTTAGTACAAGACTCTGGGGCTGGGCCTTCAGAGTGGACAGGAACGGGCTTCTGTCTCTCCAGGCCTGGCCTGTGTTCCCCCTGCATCTAATCACACCCAACTGCTTCTCCACCTCACTCCAGGTCTCCTAGGAGCTTTCTCATGCTGCTTTGGAAGAAGGACAGGGCCTTTGTGCATTTGTGGTCCCCTGACCCCTGGGTAGACAGACTTCCATTCTGCCCTTTGTACACAGCCAGGATAGGGTTCTTCTCTATTCGTGGCAGTGTCTGTCCCGAGTTTGGCCATTTGGTACCTCCTCCAGGCCTGCTGGAGGGGACAAGCTCTGATCCCAGTGCTCTGGATGTCAGGGAATGTCACGCTGGGAAGGGGCATCTGCAAGAGTGCAGGTGTCTTAGAAGCCCCAAGAATGGTGTGTGTGGGGGGGTCTGATGTGGGTACCTGCTAACTCCCATCCTCATGGTGTTCCAAAGCGTTTAGTGGAGGCAGGCGGCTGTGCAAAGCAGGGCACTGTGGCATCTCATTTAAACATTGCAAACTCACCCTGCCCCAAAAGATGTCCTTACTCCAGAGTCAATAGGGAAGGGCTTGTCAGTGTTAAACTGTGGCAGATCCCGAGCTTTGTGGATGTCTCCAAGGGCTTCACCACCCTTCACCGTGTTTCTATGGGGACACGCCCTGCCTGCCTATCCTGCCTCAGCCAGGTTGGCCCCTGTCTGAGATGCTGGTGGGCAGAGAGAAACTGGACTCTGAAACATCACTAGTATTTGCCTCCAACATCAGAGTAAGTGAGGACTTCTCTGGGAGGTCCCTACTCCACCGTTTCCTGCTTTCTCCGTGTCTTGCCAGGTACCAGCAGGTCTATCAAAGACTCTGCGCCCAAAGCCCCTATGGCCACTGAGGCCACAAAGAGGGGTCCTATCACTTCTGTCCCCTCCACATCTACCATCCAAGCCCCTGCAGCCCCCAGCACCCCACAGCCCACAGGTAGGTATGAGAACACACCCGAGGGTGCTTGCTCCCTCCCTTTTTGCCTCCCTCACCCAGGGAAGAGCAGATGCTTGCTTCTTAGAGTAGAAACTATTAGCAATCTAGCTCCTTCAAAGCACTGGCTGAGGGGGTCCCCAGGCCATCTCAGTAAACCATCCCAGCCAGGAGTCCTAGCTAAGGCAACCACTGAGGCTCCTGGAATCTTCTTGTTCCTTCAAATGTTGTAAAGAGGAGCCCAGGGGTCAGTGTAGCCAAGGGGACAGGGGACCTTGTGGGAGGGTGCCCATGACAACAAATCCACTCAGATATTCAGTAAGAGATAACAAGATGGTGCCTTGTTACCCAGACATGCTCTGTGATCCATCCATGGAGCTGGCTCAGGCTTTGTCCCTCCCTGGCCACCTCCTGGGTTCTCCGTCCAGCTGCTGGCCAATGGGAAGGACAGAGCCGGATTAGTGGAGATCAGGGCAGGAGGAGCCTTGAGAGGAAGCCGATTCCTAAACACCTGTGAGCAGAGCTAGGCCCAGACCGACTTCCTGGCTGGCAGCGGTGACTACAGGAGCAGCTACACCTGGGCCTAAAGACTTGACTGCCTGTTTGCCCTCCCAAAGCAGGATTGGTGCATCCAAGTGGCGCGGGATCCCAGTGTGGCCCTCTGGACTCATCTGGGGAAGGAGTGCCAGGTCTAGCCCACTGCAGATGCTGGGAATCTAAAAAGATTCCTCCTCCCAGAGTGTACCAGCAAGATGGTGGCCAAGTAACTTCTTTTTAGCCCCAGTAACATATTCCTCCCTCCCCCCCTCTCAGGGGAGACATGGTGACAACTCCTTGTTCCTTGGACCTTTCTTCTCTCTCACCCATTGTCCCTACCTAGACACTTCTTACCCCTGGCAGGTGACATCTCAGGATGGAGATTCCCCCAGCAGCTGGGGAAGGGATCAGCCCTACACTCTGTCTCGCCTCTGTCTACTGCGCAGGGCGGCCTCTTCAGGTCCACTGGTATCCTTGAGAAAGTTACCTTCCCAGGACCACACCACAGCTCGCTCTGAATCCCTCCTCTTTATGGGGATGTGTGCAGAGGGCTGAACCCGGAGATCAAACCTTTCAGAGGAAACTTCTTGCTCCCGGGAACCCCTCTGAGGCAGAGGAATCTGGGCTTTGAGGCCTAGCTGCCTCTGGAGACCTTTGCACTTGGTTGAGAATGTGATGAACCGAGGGGACCAAAAATAACCAGGAAGGGACCGGGCGCTCTGTCTGCCACTGACCGGTGGTTCATGTAGGGTGGGGATAAGCACTGGCTGCCAGATACTGAGGGACCTTGAACCAACTTGGAGGCTGGGTAGGGCAGACTGAAGTTGGAAGGTAAATCTGAGAAGACAGGGAGCCCAGAGGTCGCTCTAAAGGACGGGGTCTGAGTTAGGAGAGTCCCCTGGAGCCCAGGGCTGACTGACTCCAGGATTTTGCTAGTGAGCAGCAGGCATGCCCATCCTCCAGGCTGCAACAGCGAACTCCCAGTGAGTGTCAGATCTGCAATTCTGAGCCCTGTGCTGGATGGCTGAGCTTTAAGGGGAGGAAATGGCTTCAAGGTAACAGTCAGCAGCCTGCACCTTCTCATCTAGGACATCCTTAGCTCCTGTGTGACCATTGAAGCCTGTACCCAGAGTCCCCAGGACACTTGGCATACCTCTGGTCTGGATGCCAGTTGCATTCAGGTGTCTGGCTGGCTGCACAGCGTTCTCTCCCTAGTCTCCCTGGAGGAAGGCGTTGAGGCTTGGGAAGAAACCACTGCAGCTATGGTATGCAAATTATACCTCAATAAAGCTGGTTAAAAAAAAAAATAGAGAAACAGCTTCCCAAGGTCTTAGGAAACACACATGCCAAGCTGTAACACAGGGCTGATTCCGTTCACTCCCTCCCCCCTCTGCCACTTGGGGCTACTGCCCCTGAAGTCCCAAGTGTTTGGAAATGGTCCAAGCTTTAAGACATAGCTAACGTGGGCTCTTGATCCCAAGGATCCTCTTCTAGTCTTGGCACACAACACAGGACCCCTGAGTGTGTCCCAGCAGAACCAGAGAGAAGCTTTCTCTTCCTGGACCCAGTACCTTCCACAAGGTTCTCAGACCTCTTTGGCTAAAGTCCAGCTGGGCCTTGATACCCCAGTCCCAGAAGTTTCTGTCTCCTGCCAATGTCAAGCTGTCTGGAAGCCCCTAATCCTTCCCAGCCTCCTCATGCGGGTAGGGGGAGCCAAGCTCAGAAGCAAGATGCCTTTGGGGTGGATTTACCAGGGCTCTTAATTAAGCCCTTGCCAATTTGGGTCCTGCGGCCTTGTCTCTTCACTGAATACCATATTAATGTCAATTTGATGTCCAAAGACTTCAAGCTCCCAGCTGGGAATCTCCTGCTGTTTTTAACTGGTAGAATTTCTTTTTCTTTCTCCATCAACCACCATGGTAATCCTTTTTCAAAAGGGAAGACATCAGCTCCTCCCTGATGCCCCCCCAACACACACACACACACACACACACACACACACACACACACACACACACA